TCGGCCGCCAATTTAAAGTCTTTTAATCTTTAAAATTGGCGTTTCCACTTCCCGGGACGAGGACCCAGGGGTTGGATTTGTGGGAAGCGTGTGTTCGGGTTGTTTCATTGTGTCCAATTACACAGAACGAGGCGCTTGACGTGTAAGTGCGTGAGTGCGAGAATTCGAGTAAAGGTTAAACGGTGTATATCTTCGTGTACAGTAGTGTTATGTCCGTGCGTGTGTGTGTATGTGTGTGATCGAAGAACATCTTCGGCATGTCTGTAAACAGAAAACAGTAAATTACGATACGAGAATAAGATGTGTTAAAAAATGAAAGAGTTCTTACCATCGGAAAATATTCACTTGTACGATAAATTGGCCACTCGGTCCTCTTCGTGGTAAAGTTGGGGAGGGAGATTCTTGGGGAGGGAGATTCTTCTCCCTCCCAAATGTTCCTACAAAACACAAAGGCAGTGAGAAAACGAGAGGTTTATTCATTTATTACCTTAATCAGACAGCCTTTCTTCCCGAACAGTGTTATGAGAAAAGCGAAGGACCTAGCCTAGACTAACCTAACGAACCTTAACCGGAAGCTCAATCCTCATAACAGCTGTTTGGGAAGAAAGGTCGGCCGAATGTCGCGTCCGTTGAAGAAACGTGTCAAATCCGTGGGTCACGTCCGGGTAAGAGAGGTCACGTCCGTTAAAAGGTGTCATGTCCGGGTGAAAAGTGTCGAATCCGGTAAGAAAGTCGCATTCGGGTGAAGAAGAGGAAATCGAAGATGATCACCTCCTAGGCCAAGGCAACAGCAGCCCTCCGCAGCAACAAAACCACGGACAGCGCGGTCCCTCAACTTCGGGGGCTCTCTCCTCCGACTCCTCCCCGTTCTGACTTCGACAAGGCGGTGGCATCGCCGTCGCGGACGAACGGGCAGAACGCGACCAAACAGAAAGTGTCAGCTCGGACGAGCTGTCACTTTCAACATCCTCCACAGCAAGGTCTGTGGCCGGATGACCCCCGAAGATCTCGGCCAAGCGCACTGGACCCAGGGTGTAGCGTCGCATCATCCCGACTCCGGGAGGATGCCACGCCACGCGCACTTGGCGAAGGTCTTCTTCACCCGCTGCCTGTCGCTCGTCGAGCCCCCGCTCCTCCAACGGCACGGAACGACAGACTCGTTCCGCGTCGTCCGAGGAACCCTCTCCCTCCGGCGCCACCGCCTGCCTCCGCCGGAACCGCCTCCAACAACGCACCAACGTCTTCGTCCTGTAAAAAGAAAATTTGCAATTAGTCCAGTGAAAACAAAAGCTTAAATTAATGCTTAAATCCAAAAAGTAAAAGCAAACTGCTCACCGCAGCCGCACTGCTTTTTAAATCTAAAAGATTCGAATCCGAAGCGCAAACGGTCGACCATCGAACGATGTGCCGAGATGTCTTCTGGGACCGATTCTCCAAGTAATATTAAATAAATTCTTACGTCTAAGATCAATACGGACTAAGACTTACCTAAAAAATCTTCAATCTCTGTAAAAGCCTTTAAACCGCAGAAAACAGCACGCAATCCAAGAGCGAAAGAAAAGCACGTCCGATCACAACTACAAACACAATCGAACTGCGATTCGTCATGTGTGACGTATTTCGAACAAACGTTTAAAAAACGCGTCAACAATGTTCGAATTTCGTAAAAATTAGAATTTTTGAAAAAAATCAATTTTTTAATTTTTTTTAATTAATTAATTTATAATTATTTTTCTTTTTTAAATTTGATAAATAAATTGTTTTCTGCATTTACATGGTGCGGAATGTCGACCGTGGAGAGGTAAAAGACGATCTTTTTAAATTCTACGTCTCGAGGCTTGACCATCTCCGAAATTCGTTCGAATAAATATCTTTTTCGTCCATTTTCGACCATGGCATGAAATAAATCAAATTCTTAGGATTTCGCTTTGCGGAAAGATTCCTCGGTCGCCGTCGGAGTTGCGGGTTTCGCCTATTAATGCAACATCAAACTGAATAAAGTTAATATTATAATACGGCCGAACGAAAATTAAGTCCGAGACAACGGGGAAATCGACACAGAGGATAAACAGACTGAGCTAGGGGGAAACGATCATTCTTTCTCCTTGAATTTCTGACTTTTTAAAGGATCTCTCCCCTAAATTCTTAATGTGATCGCTTAATCAATTTGACACGTCCGCAAGTGTTGATCCAACTTTGAAACTTTCGCTCGTACCTCTCATGCCATGATATTTTATTTCCTGACCGCTGAGAATTTTTTTTACTTACAACGCGACAATTTTGCTTTGGGAGGAATGCTACATTTATTTCCAAATTTTGTCATGTCTACCAGAGTGAGAGTCAAAACTAAAATTTTCCCATGGACATTTTTATCCGTTAGTTGGCGTCGACCCGTTTTTGGATGGGGCTGCAATTTGAAAAAAACTGTAGATCTAAAAATTGCCGTTGTCTTAATCTCAAGAACAGAATTATATGAAATCCGAGACTAGCCATGGTATCCTAATGGACAGGAGGCTCCAATTAACTACCTATGAACTGCCGATGCAAACCGGAACTCATGATTTTTGAATTCAAAACTATTCTTGCCCAAAAGCAGTTAATGAAAAATGTCAAAGCCTTATGAAAATTAGGCCATTAAATTTATAGAAGAAACTCAATTTTATAATCCCGAAAAAGGCTGTGGAACATCGCGCGATTAGTGCGTTGTCGTTTGTCGCGCCCACTTAGGCTACCATTTATCTCGGAAACGAAGTCATAGTCTTCTTCCTTTATGTCTTTTTTTTATCGCAATTAATGGAAAATAGTAATATTTAATCAAAATCGATCAAAGAGATTTTGAGAAGAATTCTGTAATTCACAGAAGAGGCTTCGTTAACTCTCCACTTCATATATACATATCAAACGAAACCCGAATAAGAGATAGCGCCTAACGCCTAACTCTAGTGCCAAATTCATTTCTAATCTATAATCATATATCTAAAATTTAGCCCGATCATTTACTGTTTTGTTGGGACTTTGAACGTGTTAAGCGACAATCAGTTTTTTATTCCCATGTACTGTAGTATCGTGCGACTAAATATCCAGATGGCACAACGCGTTGATTGGTCAGCTGAATGACGTCAACCTACGAAAATCGGAAATGTTGATCGATTAGCCTAAACTTTGTATTATTGTTGTTGTGAGAGTGAGCAGACATTATAGTTATAGACTTTTCATCTAAAACTTGATAAAAGGCACTTATAATTTCACTAGCTCTTGTGTCTATTGACGTTAATTGAAAATTTTGCAATAATTTTAACATTAAACTAAGTTACGTGATATCAAAGATTTTAATGTTGAGACATTTTTAAACATCAAGAAGTAACTTTTAACTGTTTTGTATTTTTTAAGCTTTTTTGTACATTTACTTTAATAATAAAATAATCAAAAACAACAAATATAAATTGCAAATTAAGTTTTCTTTTTACATTCTTTATTAGACAATACTGTACAGTATTTTTAACCTCACAGAAACTTGTATTTAATGCTTTATATATATACTAGTAGCCCGGGACGCCCCCTAGTGGGGCCAAATCCCAAAAAGCTGGCCAAAAGTCAAAAGCGTTATCAATTTGGCTGAAAGTCAGTATTCGAGGGTTTTCGGGATCGCCGATTACGAATCCGAAGTCAAAATTTGAAATAAAAACAAAATGACGGATTTAACACGAACCACTTTTATAGAAAAAGCACAAAATAAATCCATATATTGTTTAATACCATAAAACATACAGTCGGTTGATTAAAACTTCACGCATCGTCAT